AGATTATAATAGACTGGATTTTATAACACTATGGACATATTTACATTCATGACTTTTTAAGACTAGAGAAACAATCTGAATGTATTTCTCCTGAGAAGTAAGCTTCACCATCTACAGTGAACATAAAATGGTAACGGTGGTCTTCTGTATTGTTCTTCTGCAAATTTTTATTGATCTGAAACTTACAAGCAATTATGGGTAGGATGAATTTATTGGGACATCAAGAAAGCTAAAAGGGAGTCATGTCTCTTTGCATCTGAGGCCAAAAATATGGGGCCTTCTATATGTCCCCAGTATTAAAAGAAATCATTTAACTGTATGGGACACTTAATTATTAATCAGCAGAGCCCAGCAGCAGTCACAAATATATTACCTTTATTAACTCATTTAGTCTTACAACCATCCTATGAGGTAGTCAAAATTATACTTACTGTCCAGGTGAGGAAGCCACATTTAACAGACAAGGTAATGGGCAATAAAGAGTCAGAACCTAAAAGCAGGCTCTAACGTCCTTTACATGCCTCTATTCAGGGAAAATTTTCTTTAATTATTTTCTTTAGCTTGTGCAAAAATTAATTCCTCCACCAATTAACTAAGCTTTAGTGAAAACAAGCAAGCTCTCAGCAAACAAATGCACTCCCTTCTTTATTTGTTCCACGTGTGCGGCACGAGGGAGCACGACCATCTGGTCCAGCAGGAAGCCGTGGTCATCAGAAACAACCTTCCAGTGCTGATCTGCAGAGGTGGGAACAGCGTGTGTGGTTGATGGGTGCGATGGGGAGAGCCAGCCGTCCTTCTTCTCCCCAGTCTTACTTTTCTCTTTTATCCTTCCTATCTTCTCATCCTTTCCTGCATTTCTTTCTTTCTCCTCTGTTTCTTAAACTCCCTCTGATTTAGGCAAGAGGCATGTAAAATTATTGTTCCTGGCCTTCTGTGACATTTTTGCAGCCTGTTTGCATATCTTTATATTTTGGTAAAATATGCATCACATTACATTTATAAATTTAAGGGTCTTTAGGTGCATGGTTCTGTGGCATTAAATACATTCACATTTATCTGCCGCTGTTGCCATCACCTCTTTCCAGAATTGTTTTTATCTTTTTCAAACTGAGACTCTGTACTCATTAAATAAATAATTCCCTATTCCCCACCATCCAGCCGCTGACAACCACCACTCTACTTTCTGTCTCTATTAATTTAACTATTTTAGACATACCACATAAGTAGAACCCTATAATATTTGTCCTTTTGTGACTCGCTTATTTCACTCGGCTTAATACCTTTAAGGTTCATTCGTGATGGAACGTGCATCAGCATTTTCTCCATTTTTAAGGTGGGGTAATATCCTATTGCGTGTGTGTATGTGTGAATATGCGCGTGTGTGTATGTATGTGTGTGTGTATAATTTTGTTTTTCCACTCAACTGTCAATGGACACTTGAATTCCTTCCGCCCTTTGGCTATTCTGACACGTGATATTTTAGTGATGTTCTCAAATTAGGATAGTGTGCCAGGGAGAACATTACCCTGACTATCGGTACAATCTAAAGTCTGCTAATTTAGAACACGTATCTATCCTCAGGGAGTTAATAATTGAACTGTTGAACTAATTGAGGCTTTATTTGAACGTTTTTCTCCCTAATTATTGACATCGACAATAATAGATTTATGAATATCAAATTTTGCCTTTAAGATTTTGTTTTCCTCGTTAAACAAACTAGATTTTTTACTAATTTATATTTTTCAAAGAGAGAGAGAGAAGAAATTGACCATCTATGTCAGACTTGTTATGGAGTTGAGAATGAAATGAGCCATTAGGATTTGCCAAAGTAGTGAGCACCTGCTGTTAAAAAATACATGACTACTTTTTATATGTTTAGGATAAGTTTATCACACTTACTGAATTCAGTGGGGATTTAACTGCTACAGAATCGAGGGGGTTAGTGTACAATGCTATACAACACTGTTATTTCATAATTTTGCTGTTAGTCATGGTCAAACTTAGTTCTGTTAGGGTTTTGGAGGGATTCATTTGCATGCAATAATAATCTTATAATTAAGACAATACTGTTATTTATGAGGCAAATTAGTGACAATATGAATAAATTACTTCCTTATGAATGATTAATTAATATTTTTCTCTCTGCATTAAATTCCACCAGAGACTTAATTCTCTCCTTGAGGCATTTATGAGTTCATTAATACGTGGACATGTTGTCATTTATGAGTTCATTAATACATGTTGTTGTCACTTGCACTTTGTGGTCATCTTTAGAAACTAGGAAATAAATGGTCATTTCAGATTGACACATTCTCAAATCAGGAGGCCTGGCTGCGTGTTAGGTGAGGTGTGAGAGGTCATCCTTAGAGTCACCAGAAAACCTTATTTCTTCGAGAGAGTGTTTGTTTTCAGAAGCACCATGTCTGTCTCATACTGTACCATTTTCCTCTTGTTCTCCTTTAAATCTCTCAAGTTCAACTCAATAAAGAGACAATCCCAAATGTCTCCTCCAAACATAAAATCACCTTCAACATTAAGAGACGATCGTGATATTGGCTTAGGGTGGAGATTTCGCTCTTTTACCTTGACACCGAGTGAACATTCTCGAGAGTTGGTATTTTCATACGATTGTGTTAATTAAAGCAAGAGGTTATTAAGATGACAGTTTAAACGTTTAGCCTCTTAGGGACTGGACGACAGGCAATTTGTTATTCTGAGTTCTAAGGACTAACTGAACAGTGCCCTTTCTTAGATGGCTGCCCTTTATCTCTTTGGAAAATACTGTATTCGGTGTGGACATCACTTACAGGAATCCTGTTGCTTCGGTCCACTCTCAGGTCCACAAATGAATGGGTATAGCTGGGCCATCAGTTGGTCAATTATTGGAAATTTTTCTAAAGTTTGTATTTTCACTTCCCTCCTGGAAGATTTGGTTTCTAAAATGTCAAAATCAAAAGTATAGTACGTTCTTCATTTACAGTGCCTTCTCTTAGTTCATCATCCACAACCCTTTGGGGCTGGAGTCTTGGGCTCCTTTCCTGCCTTCTGTTTCATGCGTTCAACAAGCCAGGCCTTCGCTCGTACTCGGAGTTGTCTGCTTTTCCCTAGAACAAATCTGTCACTTATTAACTTGGAAAATCCAAAGAATCAATACAAGCTTTTTTTTTTAGTACATGTTGCTGCACGAAAGCATCAGAGTTTTTACCCTTAATGGGAATCCCAAATGCAGTCTGCTGGATGGGGGGTGATGACCCCACAGAAGGCTGAATGCTTCAGAGTAACTGCTCTCCATCCACCATAATCAGCCTAGAAAGGCACAAAGAGGATTTCCAGGGTTCAGCAAAATGCTTGTCTGTAGTCATTGCGTTTGCCTTTAAATTGCCTGTCACCACTGTGCCATGCTTAATTTTCTATTTTTAAATCTATATTTTCAGATAATGTAGTTTAAAATTATATTTACATTTTTAACATCCCTTAATGAGCCTATTTCATTGGTAGCACAAACCTAATTATGAGGCCCACCAGGGGCTCCCTTGCTGTGGGTAGTCCTTCCAGTTCACACTGGATCAAAGATTGCTAGCCATGAGCGATCTCTGAGGATGTAGCGATGCTTTTAATTCTTTGCCCCACGCTGCACCCTCCACAGTCAGCAAGTGCTTCTGTGTCAGACGATTGAATCGTGCTTCTGCTGACGTTAGTCATTCTCGGTAAGTAGAGTCATCACTAGATTCGCATGATGAATCCAGTTCATTTTTTAAGACCCCTTTATTAGGGTACTCTTAATTTTAAATCTTCCCTATTTTTATTTCTTACTTTTTCCAGTTCTTTGTTTCACATTATTTTTGCCTCAAATATCACCAGTGTTTTAATAAATTATACCAGTATGTCTTTTTTATCTCTTTAAGAGGTCTGAAATGTTAAGTACTCATTAAAAAAAAAGAAGAAGAAAAGCCTTATACAAGTCCAGGGGTGCCTGATTTACTGTCCTCAGAGGGATGACGGTGTAGAATGGTTAAGTCTAGCTAACTAACGTGTCCAACTTTTTCCTTTTCATAGCTGTTTTCTGGCATTTGTACATGATGGATATAAGTGAAGTTTTACTTGTTTTTGTCCTCGAGGAATTTAGTGAACTTCTTAGAGATGAGGTTTGAATTTTTTTTAAGTCAAATGTAGAAAACTTTCTTTTTCTTCAAATTTTTGTACTCCAATCTCTTTCTCTCCTGCTTTTCTAGAACTTGAGGTACACAGTGTTACACCACTTGAAGTTTTGTTCTCTTATGATTTAAAATATTTTTCTCTGTATTTCAATTTTGGATTGCTTCTACTGCCCAATTTTTAAGTTCAGTGATTTTCATCCCTAGTGTCCAAATTTCTGGTAAGCATATCCAATATCCAGTCAATTTTTAATTTGTGTATTATATGAATTTGTTGTTGATACATAGAAAGGTAACTGAAATATAGAAGTTTATATTTTACCTAATTACACCGCTAAATTCTCTTATTAATTATAATAATCTACCTCTGGAATATTTGTGTTTTCTTTGGTTATAATCATATTATCCACTGCTAATAACAGGTTTTTCCCCTCTTTTTGATCATTATAATATTTTTTCTTTATCTACTTATGTCTCACTGGTCATAATTCAAAGTAATGGACAGAGATCTGACTCTTTGATTTCATTTCTAATACTGTGTTTTCCACAAGGGCAATCTCAGATTTTGACTTATCTTCTAGGTAAACACTGCAAGTTCTCCTTTTAACTCTGAGGTATGCGTCTTTATTTTGGTCTTGTGCTGTTGTTTTATTTCTATGAGCATAGCAACATTGCAATGTTTGTTTTCTCTCAGATTTAGAGATTTTAAAACTAGAGATCAAGCTTTTGAGATGCCTGATCTACAATACTGGCGGCAGTAGATCTATGAAAATAATTTTGATGAAAAGAATTATTTTCGACTATGATTTTTTCTTTTGGTTCTAACAATAGTAATCTCTTCCTTAGGAATTGGTGTGCTTATGTCCATACCAGGTTATCTCCCACGGTGGTACTGGACAACCAGGTCACTTACATTCCAGGTGGGAGAGGATCCTGTGGCTGGACCGGTGGATCTTGTCCTCAGAGGTACATAATGTTTCTTGAAAATAGCCACTGCCTGCATTATAATCATTAATGTCCTGGAATATGTGAAGTTAGTAATCCCAGATACATGTGTGTCACAGGGGAGGGGACAGTCATTACATTAAACTAAATATAGAAACTTCCGATGTACTTTTTAATCTCTCAAATTCTAAATGAGATACTGCAGTGATACGTCTAGCCAAGTGTCTTGTGCTTCACGAGTATTCAATACATGCTAACTCTCACATTTGGCCCTATTTTTACTGTCATTATTATGTTTATTCTATAACATGGTCGATCCTATCCATTCATTCCTTATAAAATTTAAGTACAAATTTGAAAGTATATACATAATTTTCTTTTCATACGAGTTCGGAAAGAAGTTCATAACTTGGCTCAGCTTCTAAGATTTCAAAAGCTGTTAGTTGCAGTTATGGATAGTAAAGCTACTACTATGGGATCTTTCTTCCTATGTCTATTCAATAGCCCAGGTTGTTTTCTTTTCTTTTCTTCCTTTCTTTTATTTTCATCTATGTCATTGTTCTAAAATGTGGGGCTAAGAAATTGATAAATACTCTGAATTCATGCAGTCTCAGTATCTCAGCTGTGGGAGTTTCCCAAAAATCTGCAATAAAAACTAAAATTGTTATTGAGGCCATGATAGCTAATGTTATGCAAATTGTCATACAAATAACTCAGGCAAAGAATCTGACATATCGGCTCTCTGGAACGGTGCACAGTAGGGGTGCATCGAATCAAGGAGTTTCTTCGACTCCTGAGGAATAGCTAAGGTTCGTGATCCAGAAGGATAAACACATCTCAGGGGGTTGAGAGAGCTGTGCCCCAGTTCTGCTGTGGTATTTACTCCCTTTGTGGCAATTTCCTTGTCAACATGAGACACAAAGAATACATCGTTAATCTTTTAGGAATGAAAATATTACCATAGTAACCCCTGTCATACTGCCCTGTGGGTTCAAGGTGAGCTCTTATTTTTGCTTCACTGTAAACAAACCGGAAATATTTATCTTTATTCTTACCTCTTATCTTTTTATGCCTTTCAATGTGCCTCTCCATTATTCATTATTTTAGTACTAACACAGTATTCGGCACTTTTACCTTTATTATGTTTGAGCTACATGCAGTAGATAGTAAGGTGGACAAAATGAGAATCTTGAATCCAACAATAATCCAAAAAACTGCTGGGTCTCACTCTTACAAACTGTAAAACGTCCCTGTCACAGCTGCCTTACGTCCTATTTAGTTTAACTATGGGACTGGACAGTAGGCAGAATTATTTACTAAATATAACTAGACAGAATTATTTACTGAATATAACTTACTGAAATAAATGGAGGTAAATTATTAGCGTGCTTTTGGAGATGAAAAGACTCTTATAGCTCATTTATCACTTGAGGAATAATCCTGGACCTATTGAGATTCCTGTTATGTTATACATAGTAGCAGAAACTAAAACCCAGCCTCCTGCAGCCCAGTCTGTTACAAGACATTTCCTTCTCATATTCAGGGTTTACCAGGTGGATGACTATTGTCTCCACATAGTTTTATTTTACAAACTCTAGACTAAAAACAGTGGACACAGCCCACACAACACAGTTTAAAATCTCAGCAAAACCACTTTTAGATACGGGACTTTGAGTTATTTCATTTGTTTCTCTCCATTCTGCGTATTCCTTACCAGCAAGTCAGGATAACAATACCTTCATCACAGAACTAATGAAGGATTAGGCTAGACAATATATAGCTGTAGGCCCATTTGGTAAATCTCAACTAAATATTAAAATTATATGGATAATAACATGGTCAAATTGTTTATGACTTACATTTATATACTCAGATCCTATAATGTTGTGCCATTCACTAATTATATTGGTCGTTGCATTGAAATGTTACATTTTTTAAAAATTTTATCCCATGGTTTCATCTCAGAAATAATATATTCTCGTATTAGATATCTCTCTCTTTCTCTCATTCTCTCTCTCTATCCCTTGTCACTCATACATACACACAGAAATGCTATATGGCAGGAATAGTAGATAGCATAATTTTATAACTTTGCAGAAAAGAAAATGCACTTTAAAAATGATACGGGTTATCCCAACTTCAGTTAGATCACTAATGTCTAATTTGTTTTAAGTTGTTAGATACTGATATAGAAAAATTGCAAATCCTTATAACTTTCAATATATCAATGTAGGAAATAGCAGAAATAGATTAAGTAATCTTGAGAAAACTCCTTTAAAATTGGAATTAAAATAAGTTTTAGTATTGGTTTAGCTAAAGGCATCATCAATGGAAGAGCTATAATATCTTTAGAAAATTAATGACAGAGTATCAATTTAAAATTCCAAATAGAATAACCATTAATTCTTTTTGTAATCTATTCAAAAAAGTATGTTTGGCAATAATACTGACAGTGACTATTGTGATTATAATAATACTAGCCAACACACACTAAATGCTTATTATATAATATTTCAGGTATTCTTCCAAATAATTTACATTTTTTATTTCAACTGATAATCCAGTGTTACCCAAGTAATCTCTTTTCCCTCAATGTCTCTCCTCTTTAGATCTCAGAAGATATCAAATCCTGTGTACAGGATGCAACATAAAATCGTCACCTCATTGGATTGGAGGTGCTGTCCTGGATACAGTGGGCCTAAATGTCAGCCCAAAGGTATACTTAGTCTTACTTTCCTAATAACAATTAGAAGCATTAAAATTCCAAAGCATAAGTTACTGATTTCAGTGAAGAAAAGAACTGAATGTTCCCTTCCAAACCAAGGTCAATTAATGTGTAGCCAAATTACTAGGACCATTACCTCTCCAGAGTTTCCCAACTTGGAAGCTATGATAGCACCCTCAAATCTCATAGGCCACTTTTTAACTCCTCCCCCCATTTTTATGTTGGTTTCATGTGGTGAGTAAATGGCGATCTGACTAAATATCTTACTTATTCTTACCTCTTGTGCTATTGAGTCAAGCCTTAGTAAGATATCAGGAATGCTACTTTTATATTTTTAAATAAATTATTATTAGAAGTGACTCAGTATAGAGATAAGATAATCCTCTAGTTTTATTTCAGTTCGATTATTTGAAGTAATGTTCATATGAATGTAATTCAGTGTTAAATAATATACAAAGTATGCCATGAATAATTCTCCTTTCTTGTACCTTAATGGAGCCATTTTTCTCAACTGAGATTTTAAGGATTTTCTGGTGGCAAGGCTGATCAAACACATGGTAACCCACTGTGGCTTAAAATCCATGTGACTGTTATTTTGCTTTGGGCTTTAAATAGGTTTCCTTTGAAAAATGAGATGTGGCATCAGTGTATATATTTTAAAATGAATGAATATTATGAGAAAGGCCATTAGCAGTGGTGGGGAGTTCAATCAACAGTGTAAGAGACTGTGATTAAAAATTAATGTAAGCGTGGAGAAACTATTATGATTCACATTAAAAAACGAAAGTGTAATACAAAAGCTCTAGGAATCCTGCAGTTTAGTTAGGGATATTATATATGGTTTTGCTAGCCCTAGACAATGAGAATGTGTAGGCAGATTTTACTGCAATGCTATTACGGTGAAATTTGTTCTGGGTCTGGCCTGAATTTCGGAGATGTTATAAATATTCAATATATTTTCAGACTATAGGATGAATACGTACTACACTTATTATCAAGTAAAATAAATTTAAAATATCATACATAGTGAAAATATTTTGAAATGAGTTAATTTAACATATTCTAAAATGCTTTTATTTATTTATTTTTTTAATTTTGTTATTTTTTTGCAGTTTGTGGTGGGGCTGGGTTTGAACCCGCCACCTCTGGTATATGGGGTTGGTGCCCTACTCCTTTGAACCACAGGTGCCACCTTTTTTTTTTAATGATCCTGCTTTTAAAAGGACTTCTGATTTCCATGAAGGATATAAATATACTCACAGTTGTAAAACCCACTTGTTTCTAGTCCATATTTGGCAAATAGTTAAAAGTTCTGGCCAATAACTAGAATTCCACCCAAAGGACTGTAACAAACTGGTCAACATATGGAGGTAGTCAAAGCCCACCGTACTTACATGAACATGTGATGCATGTCCAGTCCATGAAAATTAGGTCAATGTAATGAAGTGGTCAACTATAGACATTGTATTGTATATTTCTAGGGTCCATGTTTATCTTCTTTTATAAAGAAGGATATCTTTGGTTGAGCTTGGTAACTAACACCTGTAATTGTAACACTCTGGGAACCCAAGGCAGGGGGATTGCCTGAGCTCAGAAGTTGGAGACCAGCCTGAGTGAGAGTGAGAACCCCCTCTCTAAAAATAGCCGGGCATTATGGTGGGCACCTGTAGTTCCAGCTACTTGGGAGGCTAAGGCAAGAGGATCTCTTGAGTCCAAGAATTTGAGGTTGTTGTGAGCTATAATGCCACAGTACTTTACCAAGTGGTACCAAGTAAGACTCTCTCAAAAAAAAAAAAAATAGAAAAAGATATCTTAAGAATATTAATTACTTCATCATTATTTCTTGAAGATTCAAGTGTTTGTACAGTACATTTCTAGAAATGTAGTATATTAAAAATCATAGTGGATGTAAAGGCCTGAAGGTAGGCATGTGGAAGGGGCAGAGAATGTCATGGCCGCCAGCTGGTGAGGACACTGAGCTTCCTGCTTCATCCTTCTATACTCAAGAGTCAGTTCTGTGTCGACTGGTGGACCACATGTGTATAGAAGGGAAAGAAACTGGACTCCACCATTACAAACAGACACACAAGAAACAAAAATTAGTGACAGTTTTGATTATCTACTAGGGACTGTCATTGCCTTATTTCAGTGTATCACATGAAATATATAAAATGAATTCAAGTAATTTAACTTTGATTGTTTAATGACACCTTGTCTTCTAATGGGGAGCAAAGCGTGGATATCTGTTATACTAAATTTATAAATCATTATCTTAATTCCCATTGACAAAAATGTCCAGAGCAGTTCTGATAACATTCTGTCACAGTAGTCTAAGTGGAACTTAGACTTCAGGTCTCTGCTAACCAATCTGTTGTTGACAGATCTCTTTTGGTTGGAAGCTGCCGTGGGAGTGACGTTCTGATGGCAGATATGCTCGTGGTGCCATGTTGTCAGGCAATCGATTCTGATTATAGCTTTGATTCCAAGAGAAACTTCTGTTGCTCCTACGATACTCTGACCATCCTAGTCTTTGCTTTCATTGCAGAAACATACAATCTACTGCGTATTTTACTAGTGTGCTGGTTGCATCAGGAACTTCTGTGTCCCTTTGTCCCTTCATTATCTCTGTCCTAGGGACTGTTTTGCCCGTGTCGCCCTTCTGCTGCCTGCCTATAATTACTTGCCAAGTCTCCCTCACTCTTCTTATCACACTTTATGTATGTGTCAGCTATGTTATTTATTCTCATCTGGGAGAGAAAATTGTCTTCCCCTAAGAATGAACATTGTTTCACAACTCTGTCTACCCCGTCTCATATGACGAGCTGCTCCAAAGATGGCAAGAACACTCAGCTTGGCTGATCCAGTCTTTGAACCTCCTCGGAGCCCTCCAACCCATTTGGAATAACCTGGTTACGGAGCTACCATGACAATCACTTCAGCACTAGTCCCTCAAAAAGACAAGAGATTTATTTTATTCATAGAAAATTTGGAAAGTACGGCATAAACTTCACAAATCCTCCCTTCCCCAATAAGTTTTCTCTCCATTGAAAAAATAAATTTTGTAACGTAAAAATTGCAATTTCCTTTTAATTTAGACTGTAGTAGGGAGATCTTTTAAACCTACAAGAAGCATTAATTCAGCGGTTCTCAACCTGTGGGTCGCGACCCCTTTGTATCAATGAAAATACATCCTGCATATCAGATATTTACATTATGATTCCTAGCAGTAGCAAAATTACAGTTATGAAGTACCAACAAAAATAATTTTGTGGTTGATGGTCACCACAACGTGAGGAACTGTATTAAAGGGTCGTGGCATTAGGAAGGTTGAGAGCCACTGGATTAATTGATCAGGAATAAAGTGGGCTGCTAGCAATGATGCTCTCTTTACTTCTTTTCCTCTACTTCTCTACCTTTCTCTCTTGTCTTCTCTCTCTCTCTCTCTCTCTCTTTCTCTCTCTCGCTATATATATGTATATATATATATGTATGTGTGTATGTGTGTGTATTCTATCTAGCTATCTATCTATCTGTATATATATATAGAGTACAGATAGAATATACACACATATATCTACCTATCTATCTATATATATATAGAATACAGATAGAATATACACATATATATTTATCTATCTATCTATCTGTATATATATATAGAATACGGATAGAATATACACACATATATATACATTTATCTATCTTTAGAATATACACACATCTATAGAATCTACACACATCTATATCTATAGTATATACACACATATATATATCTTGACTATATGTTTTTTTTATTTCAGGCTCCTTTATTCCATGAATATTTATAGAACATCAACTATAGGCAAAACATTGACATAACATTGAAGATAACATTGGGACAAATCTATCAATTTTATGAGGAAACAAAAGCATTATCTACAAATCAATTATGAGATAAGTGTACTCATTACCACCACTCCTATAAAGTTGGAGATCCTAGCTAGTACAATTATGATAACTTAAAAATCCCAATAGTTTGTAAAAAAAAATACAAATTTCATTACTTCCGAGTCACCAAGTTACTTGCAAGTTACCAAAAACAATAGAAAAATTCAGCAATATAGCTAACTTCAAAATAACTATACAAAATCAATTATATTCCTATATTAAAAAAATTACAAGATAATACTAGAAAAAAAAGATAGCATTGTATCAGCAACCAAAATAGAAAGTACCTATCAATATAGCTTTAACAAGAGCTGTGCAATTTTTTTTGAATGCATAATCATTTACTACTTGTTTGTTACAGAATACACAAGACAAAATACAAAAAGCAAACAAAATTTTTTCCTTGTTATGTTTATACCAAAGTCTGGGAAAAAAAAGATGACTAATATATATAAATAAAAGTAAAAAATAATTTCTGAAAAAAGAAAAAACAGATCACACCAAGTCTTATAGACAATAGAACTAGAAATACTTCAAAATCATTCTACTTAGTTTGGATACCCCTGATAGTAAAACTAGAAAAAATATATTATTATAAAGGGGAAATTACAGACATCTCTCTCTCTCTCTCTCTCTGTCTATATATATATGTGTGTGTGTGTGTGTATTCTATCTCTCTCTATATATATATAGAGAGAGAGACAGAGAGAGATACTCCTAGACTGTTAGGAGGGATATGGGGACTCAGACCCATGGTACAATTCCCTCTGGTGCCTTATTCCACAATATGCTAATCTACTACGTATGTGCTTTAGCTTCAACTCAGATAATCAAAATACTGGTAGTTATAGTGATGGGTAGAGATTACCTTATTAAAAATACTAGTCAAACTATCAAAAGGAAAGCAGTTTTTACAGTCTAAGTGCATAGAGCTTTATTGAGAAAAAAGGAAAATTAAGTTCAACATCAAATAGTAATATTTTGACATACTTTATACTTGTTAAGCTTTTTTCTCATTTTATATGTATATTTCCACATAATGGGGAACAAATCCTCAAAGAGTA